TTACACATACCAGGTAAGCACTCGACCACTGAGCCAAATCCCTGAGCATGTACTCAGATTTAGGTGCTCAAAAAATAAGGGGAAGGGATGCAGTGAGTGGCGCATTTGAAGAATAAAGTGGATTCATTTTAACTGTCAATGTTAGGCAATGAGTTTACACTGGCTGCTCTCAAAAAAACTGACTGCTTCAGTTATGAAGAGAGTTCCTCACAAAGGAAATGAAGATACTCTATTGTGTTGCTATCTGGGGGGAGAGGGTGGAAAGGAGGGCCTGAGACAGCCCAAGGTGGCTTCTTACTCATTGTCACCAGTGATGATGCTCTTCCAGACGACCTGGCATTCTGTGCCTAACACCTACGTGGTAGCACACAACTGTGTGCGACTCCAGTACTGTGGGATCTAATGCCTTGTTTTGTCCTCTGCAGGCACCTGTCACATGCATGGTACACAGGCATATGTGCAGGCAAGCCACTCCGACACATTAAAAAGTTTAACAAAGAAGAAATAGTCAATTTCATAAGACACATAAGGGCCTGTAAGATGGCTCAGCGAGTAAAGGTGCTACCAAGCCTCCCTCACCCCAAGACACAAAATAAAGAAAGGTAAAAATTCTTGTTGCTTAGGTGCTCAGAGATTCTTACTGCAACACCGTTATAATTCAAATGCCCAAGACTGTTGTTGCCTTTTTCTTCCTTCTACTTCTCAGCAACATTAACTGCTCATGTCCCTTAATCCCCAGCAGCTTCAGTGTGCTTTGGAGTTTAATTTACAAGCGTGTGTTAGAGTACACATTTCTTTTGTCCAAGACGTGAAATTAAATTTTCAAGGAGCACCTTTTATATAGCTCAGAGGAGTAGAGAGTGAGGACTCTCAGAGGAAGACGGCTTTGGTCATCAACACATTAGCCATGTTTCTAGCCTGTTGGTATCCTTTACACAACACAGGCTAGGTTTTCTCACCAGCGGGTCACATCTTTCTGGAAAGATCCAATATGAAGGTGTACTAATTGTCTTTATAAATTGTCTCAGATAAATGTACTCTCTATAATCAAGTATAAGCACACCATAGTAAGGTCCTCTTGGAGGTTTGGTGGACATGAGATGGATAGAGTGTCTGGGGTGTGTATGTGTGTGTTTGTGTTCACGTGCACACGCACAAACCCTCAGACACATATATACTGTTGAAGAAAGGGGTCTTTTATTTTGGTCTATTTTGACAGTATTCAGTAAATCAACAGATAATCCATTTTCCCTGTGTGAGCTTCCTAAGGTTTAACAACTAGGCATGTAAGCACCTTTAATCCCAATACTTGGGAGGCAGAGATAGGTGGATTTCTGTGAGTTTGAGGTATTTTCTATATAAGATGGCTTCCAGATCATCCAGAGCCACACAGTGCCCGTGTCTTAAAAAATAGGTGGAATAGATTTTCCAAACTCCTGAGATTTTTGTGTGTGTGTGTGTGTGTGTGTGTGCCTTGAATATATGAATTTCATACATGCCCAATGGAGTCTTTGTAAAGGGGTGAGAATGCTATGTATGCCAGGCTAACTTTGAACTCTTAGAGATCTGCCTGAGTCTGCCTTCTGAGTACTGTGCCGTAAGATGATATAGTTGGGGCCTTTGTACTCTTTTATGTGTTTAGACTATTAGAGGACCCCTAAAGCTTGAAAGCAGCAGACAAACTGCCTATCATTGTTGATTATGTGTTCTGGTACCAACAACCCCAAAAGAGGGACTTTTTAAGTTTTTTTTTTAAATTTTTTATTGGTTCTTTATGGATTTCACATCATGCATTCCGATCCCACTTATCTCCCTGTCTCCTCCTACCATGCACACATACATCAAAACTGTGCTTAAAAGAAAAACAAAGAAACAAAACAAAACCAAAACAAAGCAACAACAACAGCAACAAAAAGAATCTTGTCATGGAAGCTACAGTGTGGCCCATTGAAGCACACAGTTTACCCTTTAGTCCATTCATCTTGGACGTGTTCATTGCTACAAGTCATTGGTCTGGTTCGAGGCCTTTGATTTATGCTATAACGCCAGTAATGATAATGGGCTCTCAGTGATAATCCTCTTGGATATCCTGTTTGTTGCCCTGTGTCATGGAGAATCTGCAGTTTTGGATCTGCAGGTTTGTCCCCTTCACATGCTCCAATAGTTCATAGATTGGGTGGATGTTGGGATGGGTCAACTTGTAGGTCTGTTTCTGGGCCTGGGTGGTAACCGGTTGGTGAGCTCGCTAGCTTTCCCTCATCCTCAGCTCCAGAATAAACTCTCCAGCACTGCATTGGTTGGTTTACCCAATGCAGCAAGGAGCAGGGCCAGTTCTCCCGCTCTCAGGTCCTGCGATCCAGCTTCCCCTCACTCACATCGCCAGAGCCAGCTCTACTGTTCTTCCCAGGCAAAAGGGGTTTCGTCAATCTGAACCTTAGCAACCTTTGTAACTGCTTTTCTTTCACTGAGAGCTGAGTTATTTTTATAACTTCAGCTGTAAACTATTTTTTAATCTTCTTCAAATCTTTTTTCCCTGTTAGTAAAAAATTATCTATTGTCCATGGCTTTCAGAAATCACCAAGGAAACAATAGTTTGTGGGTGGAGAAATGATTGTTTATTTGAAGATTGCCCTTTCATGCCTCACACATTTTAGTTTCATTAGTAACAGTCTCTGTACCTTTTAATTGCAAATAATGATTATATGTTGTAGGAAATTATTTTAAGGTGCATTACTTTTGTTTATGCTGTATTTGTTTAATTCAGTGAAGCTGTGATTTTTTTTTCTCCTGTCTAAAACATCTGGTGGTCTAATAAAAGAGCTGAATGGCCGATAGTGAGGTAGGAGAAAGGATAGGTGGGGCTGGGAGGCAGGGAGTACAATAGGAGGGGCAATCTGGGAAGAAAGGAAGAGCAAGAGAACAAGGGGAGGGTCCAGCCATCCAGCCAGTTGTGGAGTAAAACTGAAAGTAAGGTTTACAGAAGTAAGAGAAAGGGAAACGCTCAGAGGCAAAAGGATAGATAGATTCATTTAAGATAAGATAGGCTGGCTAGCCAAGCAAAGGCCAGACATTTATAAGAAATAAAAAGCCTCCATGTTTTTATTTGGGAGCTTCGTGGTGAGCTCCCCCCCCAAGAGTAAAAAACAACCAACAGCATATATACTGAGTGCATGATAAAAATAATTACTCTCTCTCTCTCTCATATATATATATATATATATATATATATATATATATACATATATATATGTATGTAATTATTTGTATCTAGGCAGTAATAATCTAGTGATAAGCAATTCACATACAAACTCTATTTTATGTTCAACACTCCCACCTAGCCCTAATGCTCCTTTGGTGTCTGTGTTAGGGGAAGGCTTGTTTTATGAAAGTATACAAAAGCCAAGCAGTAGAAGATGTATTTGTCATCCCATGGCCCTCTGTCTGTTTAACACACTAGTGTCAAGCTCCCATGTCTCTAGCGGATTTATTCTTGAGATTGCATTTTGAGATGAAGTCTCACCATGTTACCCCTCCAGTAGCTGGGACAATAGGTATACTAGGCCCAGATCCCTGAGATTTTGATTCTTTTCAGATTCTGCTTTGTCTTACGTATGTGGACAGCAATAGCAGAGCAGTGAAATCAAATCTTGTGAATTTGTATACAGTTTTATCAACCCAGTAAATATTGGAGAGACTCAAGTCATAGTACCTGGTCTGGTTTACTTTTGGGCTTTTTCTGAACCTCCTTGGTCATTTTGAGGTGATGCATTGGTTCCTTCAAAGCAGAATTTTCATTCTGTGACTGACCAAGATCCAAGAGGAGGAGTCATAGGAGAACCCATCCAAACCTTACCTCTGAACTGTGGACAGATTGTAGTTCTAAGAGCATAGACACTTTGTGGCCTAGGTCGCTATACATGAGCCATCTGACACTTTTAACTCTGGGCTACATCACCACATAAAGATCACACTTATTGGAAACCACCGGTCTGTGGGAAGATGAGGAATAAGTAACTACATCACACAGAAGGTAGATATAGTCTGATAACCTACCTAGCAGGTGGCAATATAAAATCTCAACATAGAGTATTATCTGCGATCCCTTATAAAGAAAGGATTTAGCATAGAGATTATCCAATATGAACCTCCATAGTTTTTCTTTGTATGACCAACCCTGTGAAATGTGTATGGGTCTCTGCTTTTCCTCAGTAGAATTCATGCTTTTATAAATTTATATGTTACTTTCCTATACTACAATGTGGACTTACCTATTGGGTTCTTATCACACTTTATAAACCATTCTCTCTTTCTCTTGAAATATAAACTCCCAAATTCTTTTAAAAGAATCTCTTATTTACAAGAATTATGAAGTATTTCACACAGAATCATAAGGAATTTATGAAAGAGCTTTGTGTTACTATCAATCGATGCTGTTCTTACGGCCCCACAGTGACTTCTGTGGTTAAGCCATCTTAATTACAAAGTTTTACAAAGTTCTGTTTTTTTGTTTTGAGGGTGATGGTAGCTTTATGACTCATCACAACTTCCATTTTAAATTCCAATTCTAACTCTATATAAGTTCATTAAGTTGTGAAGTGGTTAGGCCTGGTTAATTTTGGTGTGTGATGTTTTATTTATTTGCATTTTTTTTGTTTTTTGAGACAGGATTTCTGTGTAGTTCTGGCTGTCCTGGAACTCACTTTGTAGAGCAGGCTGGCTTCAAACTCAGAGTGCTGGGATAAAAGGTGCACACCACCACACCTGGCTGAGAGCTTTTTTTAAAAAAAAAAATAAAGTTCTATTTCAAAACAACCACAACAAAACTGGGATACAAGAATAAAGAGTTTTCATGTCCACGAGTCCTTTTAGATCTGTGCAATGGTTGAGCTTTCACAAAGGGCTTCCCTGGCGACTGTGAAGAGGATTGCACACCAAAAGCGAGCCTTTCTCTCTTGGACCTGCTGGCTAGTGCTGACACAGATTGTCTTTCTGCCTTCCAGGCGACCATTTGAAGATCTGTCCCCATGGCTACACCTGCTGTTCTCAAGAGATGGAAGAGAAGTACGGCCTGCAAAGTAAAGATGATTTCCAGAGCGTGCTCAGTGAACAGTGCAACCATTTGCAGGCCATCTTCGCGTCCCGCTACAAGAAGTTTGATGGTATGTGTTCTGAATTGCATGTAAGAGGTGACAGCTGTTGGGTGTGAGCGCTTCTCAGATGGCTTCTGTTCTCTCTCGGTGCTTCAGTTTCCTCCTAAGATGTGATGGTGGCCGTGTGGTTTAAGCAGGCTTCCAGGGGCAAGTTAGCTAAGCAGCTTGCACTGGCATCTGTATACTAGGCATGATGGAAATATGGTCAATGGGAGTTAAAAATAGATGAGTGTGGCAGACTTCTCGACCGGCGAGAAAGAACAACCACCACACCAGGATTCTACTCAGAACACGCTTTACTGGAGTGTCCTTGATTGATGGGGAGAGCAGGAAACAAAGGGGGTAGGAAACGAGGGGCAGGAAGGGAAGGGTAGGAAGCGAAGGGGCAGGGAGCTAAGGGGAGAGACAGCATGAAGCGAAGGGACAGGGAGCTTAGGGGAGAGACAGCATGAAGCGAAGGGACGAAGGGCACTGAGGCAGCTGCTTAAATAGGGAATTGGCACACGGGTTGCCCTGTGATTGGCTGCCATCAACAGCTGACACCAGACCGCATAGGGATAGGCTCAAGGATCCTCATCCATGCATGCGGGAAGGGGGGGGGGGAGACGGGGAGACAGGGAGACATGCAGCTCTCAAAGGCATAGCCAAATATGGAGTTGTTTATTTTCAACAAGACAGGATGCCGGCGCCATCTTGTAATGGCAATCCGTCCGGCTCCCTGCAGATGAGGTTCATTTAAATCCTTTCCTTTCCTTTCTTTGGGTGAACACTGCATAGTGTTGTTGACGCAAGTCACTGAACAAACGACTTCCTAATAAAAAGCAGGCATCTCAGAACTGTCCCCCCCCACCCCCGAATCCAGTAGAGAGGTTCTACAGATGTTGGACTTCATATTAAATTTCCCAATGGACTACCAACTACAGTTCTTCGAATCCCCATAGCACATAGACAGGATTGGTGCTCAGCTCTTGAGCATCCATGCAGCCAATAACCTGGAAGTAGCCACTGCTCTATGCTCTTTACTAAGCTTGGCTGCTTCTCCAGGCTCCTTAAGAGCTGAGGTCTGGTATAGTCTTTGAATGGAAAAACCACAGGACTCTAAACCCTCTAATGTGGTTACTTTAATAGAAAGGAAGGAGGCAGATGAGAGGCATTTCAAGCCCTACCTGAAGCCACACCACAGATAACAGATGCAAAACTAGAATATGGGGTCCCAGCCTCCCTAGGATTCCTTTCTGTGATGTTGCTCACTCAGGATTGTTGTGAAGTAGACGTGATTTAATCAAAACAACTTTCTTTGTGCCCGTTTTAAAGGCCATTCTAATTACATGGTACCTTTGAAGCAAGCTTTTTTTTTGACATTATGCGTGGTGAAGGAGTACAAGGCAAATTTTCTAGATGTGAAACGTCTTTGAATATTCCTGCAAAGGGCTTGTTACCATGGTGAAAAGTTAGACGAAATTAGATTTGATAGAGCTGATAAGACAGTTCTCAACTATAGAACAGGTTGTATTTCAGGCATTTGAGAGTCATTATTTGAAACTTTTTTTTTGTGACCAATTTAATAAGTATTAGTAAGCTGTCCAGGCTAGACTGTGACACATTTTATTTGTAATGTAGTTGTACTTAAATACTGTCTGGATTCTTTTTTTTTTTAGTGTATACCATTGATCCTATTCACTGTTTCAAGTACACTGTGTGCAAGATGTATTTGGTCTTGTTTTTGCATGCTGTGGCTGGGGAAGGAAGCCAGCACATCACACACGCTATACATGTACTCAACCACTGGCCTATACCTCCAAACCGTTTGGTTTTAATTCTATTTCATTTCTCTGGATGGGAGAGAATAAATATATGTATCTTTATATCCTCCTGATTAACCCAGCCCTGGTATATCTAGCTTTTTCTGTTAAAGGACACATGCTAATACTTTGTGAAAATAGATATTATTGGCAAGTACAGTGTTAGACTCTTCCTTGTCTCTGGATCACTGCTTTTGTTTTGAAAGCAGCGACTCATTCCTATTCTCATTATCCATCCCCTCCAAGTCTATCTAATTTTTTGAGAGTCCTGTGGTTTGTGATCTTGCTTTCCCTCCCTAGTGCTAGGGCTACAGGTGTGCACTACGTGCCCAGAAACAGTGACAATCTCTCGACTCTGGCATAGATGTGAATGGCTCTACAAATCACCACATGGGACTTTCATAGCAGAATTACAAAGGAAACAAGTCCTGCTTCCGTTGAGAGCAAGATGCAGTGGAGATTCCCCATCCCCAAGCCCACCTTCCCTAAACTACCTCATTCCTTTTTTTTTCTTTTTTAGATGCAGTACACTTGGAGGCCAAGATAAGAAATAAGGCATTTAATAAATGCTTAAGCTTGAGGTTGAGAGAGATGCTCAGAAAAAAATGTAAGACACACCCAAAAGCATAGGTCTGGGTTTCTTACAGAGAAAGTTGTTGACTATAACAAATATCCAACTCTTGGTACAGACTTCTCCAAAGAGAATTGTCCTATTTCTGGTTATACATATCTTTCTCAGGAATAGAGCCCACAGTCATTGCCTATGGGCCTGCTGGTTTAATGTTCTCCCCCTTCTCTTTCCCCATGGTTTTATAGCAGTATATTACATAGTATGATTACAATGTTCAGGCTTTCTTTTGAAGAAAGTTATATAGAGAACCGCTATGAGTAAGTGTTAACATATGCTTGGATTTTTTTAAAAAACATATAAACAATTGCTCTTCTTCACATTCAATAAATACATTAAAATTTACCTTTATAAGTTCCCAAACCTACTAAACATGATTATAGAACTTCCGTTTATTTTTTTCTGACTCTAATTTAAAATATGGCAAAGACAATAAAGTTAATGAGTACCAATTAAAATTTGTTGTGAACCGCTGAAATCCGTTTGGTCTGGAGATCAGACCAGAGCTGGAATACTTTGCACATTTTATTGACGTTTTCTGAAATCATTTTTCATAGCAAAACATCAGTTGTCTGGTGCCCAGCGATCCTTTTAGTAGGCGCTGCATCGGATGTTTGATTGATAGTTCCAGGGGTGTTGAGTAAAGTGCTTTAGGGTTATTTCAATTCTCAGAAGTCCAAGGGTAAGGTTGTTTTGATCAAAGAACTGCCCGAACTGTGATAAAGAGGACAAACCTGTGTCTTTGATGGAAAGGGAAGAGAGGAAATTCGGCAAAGAAACAAGATTGGTGGCTAGGGAACGAAGAAGATAGCAGAGTTACACACAAACCCCTGGAGATACATAGTGAGGAAATAGCAGAAGGAGAGAGGGAAATAAGAGGTGGTCTGGCCAGGTCCAAGTTCAGAATGCATACTCACAAGAGATGATTTTGAGCCTTGGCAACTTCCTGTCTTAGCAAAGTGTTATGTAGATGCATGAAATGGCTTCACTGACCCAGGTTTTGGTTACTGTGCCTCCGTTGCAAGAGAGTGTGGTTCATTACCTGATTTGCCATTTTTAGACTTATCAAATGTGAAGAACAAATCTTTTTTCCTGTTTCCTTGTCTCTAAGAATATTTTAATTGGGGGGTTGTTTTGCTTCTGCACCTCTCATTTTCTGTTGTTCGTATATCTCAAGTGACTCATAGTTTATAAGTTGATTTGTACATTCTAAGTTGTGTGTGTATGTTTTCAGACCTGCATAAATACAAGAAAGACCTCATTTGACAGTATCTCCATATAGCACTTCAACCAGTTTCCTGGGTTTATTTTTAAAATATTAAAATTATATTACTACTATCGCTACTTCTTATCATCATCATCATGCGTGTGTACAGCTGGTATGTTCATGCCACAGGGTGTGTGTCAAAGTCAGGCAACAACTTTCAGGACTTAGTTTTGTTTCCACTGTGGGTTTTGGGGATCAGACTCAGTTTATACCCCCTGAGCAATGTTGCCAGGCTGCCTGTTCTTTAAATGTGTGTCTCTGGAAATGAGGACTGGCTTTTGTACTTTTTCTGTTCTGCAAGCTTTTTTTTCTATACTTGAATTTTATTGAGCTCTCCATTTTTTTCTGTTCCTGTCCCTTCTTCCCCCCACCCCCTCAGCCCTCCCCCATGGTCTCCATGCTCCCAATTTACTCAGGAGATCTTGTCTTTTACATTTTTTTCTCTGCTCCCCTCCCCGCCTCTCTCCTCCCCCAACCCAACAAAGACAAGATCTTCTGCAAGATTTTTTTTTTGTCAACTCTGTCTTAAAATGGTCCCAGAGCCAAAACTCTGGAGTGACATGGTTAGCTGCTCCCCCTCTTGGCCAGTCTTGGGAATTTTTTAGTAGCGAAACTGTTCATTAGGTGAAGCAGTCTCATGACTATGCTAAATAGTTCAGTGGCTGTTGGGAAGAATTGCTTGGCAAAGGGAATAGAAATAGTAGAAGGGAGCATAATCCGTGTTTGGGGGAACTACAACATAAAGACTCGTCCCCCAAATGTCTGCCACTTCGTGAGGCCCATTGTTTTTAAGAGAAACATAGGCTATTAAAGTGATCAAAGCTGCTGGGTTAAATACATTGCTGGATTGCATCATGAAAATTGCATGCATGAAAATGACGCAATCCCTGTGAAGAAACACGATGGCCCAACAATTACCTGAGTCACACTGTGTGCTAGAGATTTTGCACACTCAGAGAAATCTTATAGAAAACCAGAGATGACACCCGATACGAATTTCTTGGGAAAACTCTCTTACTTTGTCATTTTAGGCGGAAATTAAGACACTTCGGTTGGGAGACAGAGCACAAAGAATTGTTAGCCCGATTCTGCAACAGGACCCTCTGTGACCTGGAGCAATTAACTGGGTCTCAGTTTTTCCCTCCATAAAATGAGTGGTTGAGCTAGATGCTCCCTCAAAACCCTTTCAATTCTAAAAATTCTGCGAATCTTTTAAGCATGTGCCTGGACCAGCTGCTTTCGTGGAAGGTCTTACAAGTTGCTAATTAGCCCATCTGTATGGGACCCTCTTTCCCCCTGTTGTTTCTTAACC